GGTCCGAACTGGGGATCGAACCCAGGACCTTCTTGCTGTGAGGCGTCGGTGCTAACCACTGAGCCGTCGTGCCGAAAGAAAAAGAAAGAATGTTCTAACCAAGTCAATTTAAGTTGTAATTATGGATAATTTTTTTAGATGTAAGAGGGGTAGGCGTAAAAAATAAGTTTATACTACCCACTTCTTTGAACGTGTAAATATAATTCATTATTGTTGTTCTTGTTTTTGGTTTTGAATTTATTTTTATTTTGTATATAACTTTGTTTATTATTTTAAATCCATTATGTTCAATAAAGTTTAAACTAAACTAAACTAAACTAAAAAAAATGAATCATACCATAGGTTGACTGAGAACATAATCAGTAAACCATTAGGAAGACACATCATTGGCCGTACCCAAGCTGGTGTTATTGCTGCAATGTATGGGCTCAAATGTGTCCCACAGGCTCAGCAGCAAAACCTTTAGGAAACTATGTTCTTCTGCTCACATGTGCAAAACCACTGAGACCTTCCTAGCACACACACGCATATATTCATACTATTCTTGTGTTAGATGTCTGCAAGTGTTTGTCAAAGTGTTGGACTTTATGGTCTTCAAGTTTACACCTAATTTGAAAGTTGTGAACAATGTGTGGAAAAGTTGATCTCTTCCCCGTCGATCAAAATGATGAGAAATGGAACTCGTTTTTCACCTAGAAATTGACATTTTTTTGGTGTTGAATCAGTTCCTATGTGATGAAAGAATAAGGAATACCTGAGGTCAGATACAGGGATCTGAACGGCCCTCCTGGATTTAGTATGATGACAAAATATGAGCCATCCAGACCTTGCAGTTAAGCTGCCACTGAAACCAGAAATTGGCTTTAGGCTCTTTGAGTTTCAAGGTGAGGCCACCAGGATATATTTGTACACAGATGCTTGGCTGGATTTTATGTTTACCACCCTTATCTATGTATCATGTTCTTTAAACTATTCTTGATCCATTTGCAATGACAGGACACCTTGTCCTGTTAAAAAAGACCACTGATGTGGATTATTGTTGCCATTGCTGTGTTTGAGTAAATGGTTCATGTTTGACAAAAATGGGAGACAGAGTGAGATTAGTCCAAGATGGCTTAGAGTTGTCATGGTCTGTGTCTATTTCCTTGGTTTTTCTAGTGTTTCTGTGGTTTTAACATTCCTCCAGCCCCGCCCTCGCTCACCTCTTTCCTCTTGTGTCTCCTCCAGGTGTTTCTCATGGTCTCATTAGTTTTGCCTTTATATTCTGTGTCCTGTCCTCAGTGTTTTTTCAGATCATTGTGCTGTCTACCTCAGCCAGTGTGGTGTCTCTTGTGTTCCCCATGTTCTTGTTCTCTCATGGAGACTGTGAGGTTTTTAGCTGCTTCGTCAGCCCTTATTTGTTAATAAATACTTTTCATTTGAGCTCTGTATTTTTTTGCCTGTTCCCTGGATCGAGCTTGCTACGCACCTCACAAAAGCGTGTGCAAAAATGTTTTTGTAAGAGATTGGGGTATATTGCTATTCTGATAAAGTATCAGGCTTTTTGTGCACCTGTGTGACTTTGTTGTTGAAATAACAGTGTTAATACTGTACAGTGTTTACACAGTTTGTACCAAGATGGATGACGAATCTTAGAAATGTAGCAACATCATGACTGCTGTCATACTGYAGAGTTCCAGATTTGCCCCAGTCCAGGAATGGTCTGATAGGTCATGTAGAGGGTAGTGAGGTCGTCATCCTGTATGAATGTGACTGAAGGTTTTATGGTAAACTTAGATATGGAATCTGCAGTATTTTCACAAAATTATTGAAGTTATGTGCCTTATTGTATTCACTTACAATTTCTGTTGTTCTTATAAACTTTAGTAATCAAGGAACATGTACCTCAAGGTATGTGAGTGCTGTTCCCTGAAAAGGTGGGYGTTAAAACTCTGTTTAACTCTGTATAGTAGGGATGGGTGGTATGGACTAAAAAATGTTCCCCAATAATTTCTAGGTTTTATGATGGTAACAATAAGTGATGATAAAACATATATATCAGTCTAATCTTTTGTATTATAAATCTATCACTACATTCTGTCTTGAAAGCCCTAAAGTAATACTAGAAGCCACTAAACTACATTAATTAAAGGAGACCAATTATGGGTCCTAGAAATGTTTATGGTATGTCTGTGGGCTATCCAGACCATGTTCATTCAATTTAATGCACAAAATAATTCTCAGATAATAAAA